CCACATATCATATCACTATTTGAGATCGAAAGCAAATAAATCATGAGAAAATGGAAAATGAAAAAAGATTTTAGACCATGAGCACTAGTAAAAAAGTCTATTTTGTGGTTATCAAGAAATTCTTGAAGCTGTATGATGGGATAAAGAGAGAGAGAGAGAGAGAGAGAGAGAGAGAGAGAGAGAGAGAGAGGTATGATTTCCTTTGAATGACGATAAATTTAAAAAAAAAAAAAAAAAAAAAAAAAAAAAAAAAAAAAACAGTGAATAATTATTACAATTCTTCACAAAAAAATATGCCAGCTGAACAATTTCCTTCATACAAGCTTATAGATGCTCGACTTGTCGTGGACCTCATGGTATCCTATTGAAAACATATTAGCATGGCTTTATCAGTTCATCCCTCAACAAGCTACCGTGCATTAAGCAGGGAAAATCATGTCAAGTAGCCATTGAAGAAAGAAACAAGCACCTAGAAAGACATCCATCTGATGCAAATTGACACACACTAGTACCACCCTCGGTTGACTGCAGAAACATCCTAAAACCCTAACCTAGGTGCAACCTGTACGAAGAAGCACTAACAAAACCCAGTCCTCAGCCATAAAAAACGAAATGGTCAAGGCAAAACCCTAACTCCAAGGCAAAATGTTATCTTTCTTCTCGTTTCGTCCTTCCTCTCTAGGAAAATTGACATGGAGCCGAAATTAAATGGAAGAATGATGCAAGAAAAGGAAAAAGTAGGAAGCAGGAAAAGTAGATACATATTCGCAGAGAAGCTGGAGCTCGTCCTCGGACAAGTGCTGGCCATCTTTCACCTTTGTTATCCACTGGTCCAAATCCATTCCTTTTCTCTGTTCCCAATGAAAAGAGAATGTTCGATTGGTTCTCCGAGAATTTACAGCCACCCAATAGAAGAAAGTATGGTCGTGTACGTACGAATGAATAAGCAGTATGAATATGAGCAAACAAGGAACAAGGTAGATCCGGTTGAAAGATGACGGCTGCGGGGCTCTGTGGCGGAGAAATTTGTGGAGACGAAAATATTTTGGGTTACTTCAGTTTTTACAAATGACAGGGAAAGGAGCCCAAGAGCCAGGCAGCCAAGAAGATTCAACAAGGCTCCTTCGCCGCTCTCAGTTCCTTTTATCTGTTTTATTCGGATTAAATTTAGAGATCTGAACATGGAAGCCCCAAATCATAAGCTTTGTTATTTTAGGATCCAAGTTTATAATTTCATACGGACATTTTGTTTAATTTTTTTTACTACGATACACAATTTCTTACGCAAGCCGAGCCTTAAGTAAATGAGCCTCAAATTCGAGCTCCGTAGCAAGAGTCTCGAGCTTTAACGAGTCATATTATAAAATTATCTTTTTTAAGTCTTATCGAGTACGAAGGAAACTCGAGCTCCAACTCGACTCGTTTATCAAATGAGCCAAGCTAAACTAACAAGCGACTCGTTTCGTAAAAACTCTAGTGAACTCGTTGTGGTTGATATAATAGACCGAGTTGGGACGGTCGAGCTTGGTAAATGGAGATATTTTTTCTTTGAATATTCATACATAAAATAATAAATTATATTAATATTATTTAAATTAATATGAAAAGTTGGGAGTCCACTCAACCTAGCTCTCTAATCTAATGGCGATTTTTTTTAACTACCACAAGAATATAAATATACTGCAAATATATGAGCTGTCATGTGTTATTAGCAGGCATAATAAATTGAATTGACTTTATTTGACCTCAATTAAAAACTTACGTCATCAAAGTAACTGCTCTTCCTACAATCAAGCATCTATGGGATTTCAATGGAAAAAAAAAAAGTAAGAGAGAAGATTTATAATTTGAAATTCGAATGTCTTCTCTCACTCTCTCTCAATATAAATAAAACAAACAATAAGAAATATACATCATATATGTTGTAAATTGGAGCTCTTAATCTTCAACAAACATCCATCAATCCAAGCAAAAAGATGTGCAGTAAAGAGAACGATAAAAGAGAAGCAGAAAAGTCTGTAATTTTATTCATCGGTATATCACCCTTTTATAGGGTTTATAAGAGAGAAGCCTTAAAACCTAAATTTACTATCTAATGGACTTCAGGCCCAATTGTATTTATTAATATATTTATACCACTCCCTCTTGGACATTACTACATGTCTCATTAAAAACCTTGCAAATAAAAACCCGACAGGGGAAAAGAAATTAGTCAAGGAAAAAAGAGTACATGATTTATAAAAATTCATGAGTTTTACTAGCTGCCTCATTAAAAACCTTTAACTAATAAACCCATTGGAAAAAACTTAGTTAAAGAAAAAAGAGTACAACATTTGGTCTTCAGGACCTAATCTTCGAGATTATTTTGAGTTTGTCCCTCCCCCTGAAGACAATCGTCTTCCCAGTTTACGCATACTAATACCATAAATGTATTTTTTAAAAGTAGATATAGGAAGGGATTTGGTGAATAGGTTTGTCAAGTTCTCGTTGGACCTTACTTTTTGTACAATAATCTCACCGCTCTTCTGGAGCTCGTGTGGGTAAAAGAATTTTGGAGCAATGTGTTTTGTCATGCTTTCTTTGACGTACCCACTACTCGTTTGTAAAACACAAGCTGCATTGTCCTCATAAAGGACAGTGGGGGTTATATCATGTATAATTCCACATGATCCATAAATATGTCGGATTAAAGATCTTAACCATACACATTCGCGTGAAGTCTCGTATAAAGCAATTATTTCTGAATTGTTTGAAGATGTAGTAACCATGGACTGCTTGACCGACTTCCAAGAGATTGCAGTACCACCACAGAGAAAAATATAACCAGTCTGAGATCTGGCATTATGGGGATCAGACATATAGCCATCATCTGAATATCCCACTAATGTCATATCTTGGTTATTCTTATAAAGTAAACCAAGATCCTGTGAATTGAAGATATCTAAAAATATGTTTAATAACATTCCAGTGTCTCCTCGTAGGACAAGCACTAAAACTTGCTAGCAAGTTTACTGCAAATGCAATATCAGGCCTGGTGCAATTTGCAAGATAAAGTAATGCGCCTATGGCACTCAAGTAAGGAACTTCTGGTCCAAAATTTTCTTCGGTATCTTCTTTAGGTCTAAATGGATCCTTATCTGCTTCAAGGGATCAGACAACCATTGGTGTGCTAAGTGGATGGGATTTATCCATGTAGAATTTTTCTAAAACCTTTTTCAAGTAGGTTGACTGGTGTACAAATATTCCTTTAGGGAGATGCTCGATCTGCAGGCCGAGGCAATATTTGGTTTTACCCAAATCTTTCATTTCAAACTCCGTCTTTAGGCATGAGCTGACTTTATCAAGCTCGTCTCGTGTGCCAATTATATTTCTGTCATCGACATAAACTGAAATGATGCAAAAGCCATTCACTGACTTCTTTATAAACACAAAGGGGAACACATCGTTATTCACATAATTATCTTTCAACATAAACTCACTCAGCCGGTTGTACTACATTCTACCCGACTGCTTTAAGCCATATAATGACTTTTGTAATTTAATGCTATACATGTTGCGTGTTTCATTTTCCTTTATTTCGGGAACCTTTAATCCTTCAGGGATTTTCATATATATATTTGTGTCTAATGACCCATATAAATATGCGGTCATGACATCCATTAACTGCATATCTAAATTCATAGTTAGTGCCAGAGATATCAAATAGCGGAACGTTATTCCATCCATTACAAGAGAATATGTTTGATCAAAATCAATAACGGGTCTCTGCGAAAATCCTTAAGCAACTAATCTCGCTTTATATCTCACCACATCATTATTTTCATTTCTCTTTCGTACGAACATCCATTTATATCCTACTGGGATAACATTTTGAGTTGTACGCGCAATAGAGCCAAAAACTTTTCGTTTATTTAGCGAGTCTAGTTCAGCCTCAATTGCCTCTTTTCATCTTACCCAATCGGAGCGCTTCCGGCACTCTACAATTGATTTAGGTTATGGATCTAGATTATTGGAGATGGTAAAAGCAACTACAGAGGCAAATGTGTCGTCGACGACTATGTTACTTCTATTATAAGTTTCT